AGAGAATGTGCAATTCAGTATTCGAAAATATCTTCAAAAAAAAGAAAAAGTGCAAATAGCATTCATTTTTGAGTAGAATTAACAGTAAATATTTATTTCAAATCATTTATCAATCATTTAATAAGGTAATAATGTATCGAGAATTAGAAATGGGATACATTGGTAAGACCGAAAGAGTGAACGGGAGGGTTAACAGTTAAATTATACCGCACTGTATGGTGATTTCGCGTGATTTAGCGCAGAAATAAGAGAACAGATAGGCTGACTTAATTGTTTCAAATGCAGCTATCGCGAAAAGCCATTGAAGTCATAATAAATGAACAAAGTAATGCAAAACAAAAAAAAGATAAAGGAAGCTGAAAGTGAGTGAAAATGAATGGAGTTGAATCGATTCCGCTCGGCCAGCCTTCTCATTTATTTCCTCTTTCAGCCACGTTCTCTTCTTAGGCTCATTTTAATGCCAAGCTACTGAGTAGCACTTTCAACGGCTTCTCATAAACAACACATCCATCATGACGGATTATCAACTCCGAGATATCTGGGGTGTTCCATTAGGAACATTTCCACCTGATAAAATTAATTCCAGGTTGAGACAAACATTTTTTTAAATACAAGCATAGAATGATTGTAATGCGGAATAAATAACAGTTAATCCAACCAAAGAGTTCAACAGTACCATCAGATCAAGTGAGTATCTCAGTTTGGAATAAAAATAAAAACTCCTTAATCCTGAAAAAAGGTGTTAATTAAATTCATAAAGGAACAAAGAATCTGCATTTGGTGATATATTAAGACATTTTTTTGATCAGAGATACTAATTAGAGTATGCTGAGGATGAAGTAAAGAAGATAAAATGAATCAAGATGGAAATGCCTGAGAAATAGAAAGACAGGGAAAATTATTTGAATAACAAGATGAAGAGAAAGACTAATTGAAATGATTAAAAATTGTGTAAACTTGAGAGGAATTAGACGATATTACACTTGTGACAATCACAGTAATGCAGTCAACAGGTGTTAAACCATTTGGACAGAGAGCTAATACCGTCACCTCAGTTGTCATATCGCTTGGACTATCAAAGAAATCCGACAAGAATGATGAATAATAAGTGAATAATTACAAAAAATGTGATTTGCTAAATGTTGTTTGTTGAACTATAGGAGTCAGTGTGCGATAAGAGCAAAGAGGAAAAGATGAGGAAAGAGCTAGCCGTTTCAGAACACATCCACCTCCGCGATTCGGCAGGAAATCAAATGTGCTACAACATTCTGAATAATATGCTACTTTGACAGTGATTGGTTTGCTCACAGCTGATTTTGTATTGCTGACAGATATTCCGGTTAGTTAGTTTGTACTGTCTGGTGTGTGCTTCCGGGGGAAGAAGAGGAAGTTGAGGTTATGAAATTTACAATATCAGTAAACATTGATATAATGAGCTAATGAGCAGATATGCAAACCGAAGAATGAATGGGAAAAGATTCAATTAATATATTGATACTTGACCCGATCCTAACTTGAGATCACTTCAGTAATTTTCTCTGAACCCATATGGACATTTTTTGCCTTAACATTAAGAAATAGATATGTATTTAGATGAATTATGATAATTTATTAAGATTTTAGTGAACAAAATGGATATCAATTCAACGAATCCAAGTATTGGTTCGACGGATCCAAATTGGAATCTTTTCTTGCACCAATTGCAAGCTGAAAATCAACGTCAGAAGTTCACAGAGCAGGTCAGAATTGATGACTCTTTGTTTCTTCTACTTCACAGTTGTCTTGTATATTTGTATCTTTAGCATTTTGTATTTGAAGTTATTTAATCACGATTTCCACAAATTTCAATTTTAAGATAAATTTTACTAATATTATGTTCTGATTAACAAGTCACTCCTGTCTTAATTCCATACATGTATATTTTTAGACTGCAGTTCTCAATAGCGCATGAGTGCAAGTAATTTTATATATCTAAAGTATTATGTAATCTTTGGCCTTATCAATGAAATAAAATTTTTTGGTTCTATAGAAGTTGGTCTAGTTTTAAATTTATAAGGAGGATGGCATATACGACAAATAGATTGGACGCTTTTTCTGGTTATTGAAATTACCACTGCATGAAATAACTGATTTCTTTGGTTATTCATGAAATCTCGGTGATTAGTAAAGCGGAGTTGAGGTTTGATGATTGTTGGTAATATTCAGGTTGCGGAGATAATTTGATCTTCAAAATTGTTGAAGCTTTGCAGGTGCAAACGTTAACAGGTCGTTGTTGGGACGTATGCTTCTCGGATTACCGACCACCAAGTAAGTTGGACGGGAAAACACAAAACTGTATTAACAACTGCGTGAACAGGATGATTGATGCCAGTAATTTTATGGTGGAACATTTGCAGAAAATAAGTGCTACTGAAATGAGCTGAAGTGACCGAATTTTAATTATTAGTATGTATGAACTATAAATTTCTAAGATATGCTGAAAATACTGCTTTATGTTTTTTATTTCTATTTCTACGGAAACTACAGGTTCAGGATATCTGTGGAATCAGCCTGAATTCTAGACTCATCTCATAGAACTTATGTCTGCCGTTACTGTAATTTTTAATCACGATTGTGACATGGCTTAAAGTAATGACTTGTTTCAAAATCTTAATAAAATATCTTGTTTTATAGTACCAGTTATTTTATGTGTTGGATACTATATATGATTGAGATTGCTCATAAAAATTTAATTGTGGATTTATTTCTATGTTTTGCTTTAGGGAGGAATGATCCAGATATATCTCGATATTCCAGCACTTCTTTCTATGGGATGAAGTGCTGTGATGTTAAGATATATGTGGTTCAAGAACTTCCAGATTTCTTGGAAACTGAACTTCTTAGTTTTAATCTTTATGTAGTTTCAACATCTGTCGTTCCTCTCTATCTTTATCATAGAATAAAAGAGCATAAATTTGAATAGAATTGTATTCTTATCACCTATTTTTGTATTGATTTGCTTCACATGACTGCTAAAAGGAATCGCAGAAAGTGATCTGAGAGCTGCTGTATAATTTAATACACCTTCGCATATGATAGATGTCTATGAGGCATTCAGCAAATAATTCCTATCAGTGTGGCGATCGTCGGCTTCCTAGACATGTGACCTTTATCTCTCTCGCCCCACAAAACAATTATCAGAAAATTTATCAAAAAGCAAGGAAATGCAGGAGCACGCATCGTGTGTATGTGTGTGTCTATGTTGTGTCTCGTGTGTGTGGTATGCTGTATGTCGTAATTCCAAATGTTCGTACAGAGTTTTCATAAGTGAGTTATGATAATTCATTAATTACTGCCAAACTAATCGAGTGAATTTTATACTGAATTAAAAAATGCGTTATAAATGGATGGTGATTGGGATTAGAAGACGATTTCATTTTGACCAATAAATCCATTTCATATTTTGTGCATCAAATCAACTGCCTGAAGCAATCGATGCATTCTGTGCTGGTTGTTCGTACCTTCTTCTTTAACAGAAAAATAAGGTGTTGATAGCTTGGGGTGTGTTTTATTTCTCTCATTGCTTTAAGTGATTTGAAACACTACTACTAGATATCATTGTTGTTACTTTGAAATTTCATCCGTGTACCGATTCAGTGATAATTCTGTTTTATTGGGGATATTACGTATGATATATGGATGAATGTTCTTATCAAAAGGCCAGATTTGCCGATCGGTTTTGAGCTAATAGTGTGCTGGTGCAATTAGTTGTTTCGTTTGATAAGATTGCAAATATTTCGGAGATATAAAACTCTGCATTTTGATGTTTCGTAGAAAAATTTCATCTTTGATTCTATGATATTATTTCAATAGATCTTCAATTTCCTTATTTAATATTCCTATACTTTTTTTAAGAAGAATCAAATGATTACTAGTGGATTTTTCAATAAAAAAAAAATTGTAATATGAGAAATAAAGGTCGCAAGACTGATTCCTAATACCATCTTCCTACCTTTTAAGGGTTACTCATTCACTGTGGTTCACATGTATTTTCAAAGAAATCAGTAATATTACGGACATCTTTTTATTTTGAAAATTGTGTTATTTCCAATTTTTTCTCCAGTTGTTTTCATCCCTAAAAAGGTCGACGTCATTCGTTGGGAAATTTAGGAAATGTCATTTTTAACGAAAAGAATTTTCTTATTTTCAGTGTATCGCTCTTTCGTTTAAATGGTCATGTGGTTTTGGAAATCGGTATGATTTTGTATTATAGAAATGTGGATCAATTGAAATATTACATCCTTGCATGATGCATTGTTGGACATCAATGTCAGCTTCTTGACATTTCACAAAGCTTCAGGTTGGTTTATTATTATTGCTCAACTGAACACACGATAAGAAGGGTTATTGAAACACTTTTTAATATATAAATAATCATAATGTGTGTCAAACTTGGATTTAGAAGTTAAAGTACAAAGTAATTTGAAAGTTGCTGTATGAAGCCTTATAAAATATCCGATAATTAATACATTTTGTTTACTGAATAAAGTCTATACAGTGAAGCCATAAAGCAAAGTAAGATTTGCTTATGGTCTCTTAAATTCACAAGGCGTCATTCATGAAATCAATAGAATGTGTTTTATAAGGATTTGAAGTATTAAATTATAAAAATATATGCAATGTAGAATTTTTTTTTATTTACTTGAGCAGACATTTTATCACCTTGGTAATTTATTAACAAAAACCTTATCATAATGATAACACTCTGGCATTCATAAACTTTAGAGAACCTTGGCGGATGGAGGTTAATAGTGATTAATTGTTATCTACTTTCATTATTATTATTGTGTATTCATCTTCAGAAATTGATACAGTGTGGTGGATGGAAGTCCTCCTCTGAATATAGTAAACTTTAAAAAAAGCACTACTTTAAACACTTAATCATTTCACTTTCAATTTCTGAAAGCTGTTTTATCTGTATTCCCAGCTTTCTCGTACAATTTTTTGTTAGATGTTTCGTGATGGAGTTGAGTTTGGAGATAGCGCGTTTGGTGATCGATAGTCGTGAAAATTCGAAATGTAGCGAACAAATGTTTCAAAAAGCTCGTGAAATTATTGAGACTGGCTCTCTGCTTTCCATACATACGTTCATCGTACATCGACAGTGCTGTTTGAAATTCTCTCCTTGCACAGGCGTTGTTTTACTTGAAGAATGGACGATTAAAATTGTTCCAAGAGAAAGCACGGATGATAAGGTGAGTTTCTGATAAATCTCGTCTCTTCTATTGCCTTATATCATCTGATGTTCTTTCTGTTTTTGAACGGTTCTTATTCTAGGGAATACTTTTTTTTGAATACATTTCCGATTTTATGCCTTTTGTTGCAGGCGTTGGATAGTTTGTTCTTGAAAAACGCAATACGATCTTACTTGCATTTTTCTCAACTTAGCTCTGGGGTAACATGTACTGGAGAACAGCTATCAAATGATGCAATTTGTAAATATAGGTGTGCTTCTTTTGTAATTATCGGAAAAGTAATCCAACTCTTAAAAACGCATTTTCTGAAACAACCTCTAGCATGCTACTTTTGTTTGATGCAATCCGTTGTTTCAAATGTTTCTGTTCTAGCAAAGCTAAATAACAAGTAACACTGAAAGCCTTAGAAATTGATATACGTTTTTTAACCAATTTTGATCTAATCACAATCTCGTTCGATAAATTTTTTCAGGGTTTTTGTAGATGATGTATGTTTGGATGATCAGCTAAGGATTTTCGAAGTTCATGAATTCCCTCGTGGACAACTTAATCCTTTACTTTGTGTTTACGTAGCCGTCAAATGGAGAAAATGTGATGATTCATCTTATTTGTCATCATATTCTGAATCCACTAGGTAATAACTAATAATTGATTGCTTTTAGTTTTCCTAATTATCACCATCTCTACATTTCATGCTCTGGCAAATTCTGAATAAGTATTAGATATCAAGTCAATTTTTTCAGATTATTTTGTGACGAGTGGCCATTGTTCTCGACGGCATTCTCTAGGGAGGAAGATTTTACTGCATCACCATCTGGAATTTCCTTTTTTCACGTACCAATTGAATGCCAACAAAACAATGAGGAGAAAAAAATGAAATCTGAAGACGTTGGAAATGGTAGTGTAGCTACATTTAAAACTTCTTATGACCTCAAAATTATATCCTGTGAACAGTTGCTAATTAAAGACAATTGCAATTCTCAATTTTTCAATTTTCGAAGAGATATAAAAGGTAATTTTTCGAATAAACTAAAAATCTCAGTATTGTTGACGGAAACTTTTTTCTCTTTTCTTAACGTATTTATGAACTGGATGGATATCTTTGTCTGTCAGTGAATTCCTGCAGTAATTTTTTTTCTATCAGACCACTCATCAGTTGTTTACAGAAAAAATGCTATTGAGAAATGAACAGATTGTTAAGTTACCTGTTGTTGGAAGTCTGCTGTCATCATCAGCATCTTCAACAGAGACTGGATCTTTATTGCAAGCAGTTCCGACGTCGCCTGCCTCACGTCGAGAAACTCTACCGCGCCGAAGTCTTATGGCCTCCGCATTTCGTTTCATGTCAACAGCATCTAAAGCCTTCTCCAAAACGACAGGTCTGCCTCTAAATTCTAGTCCTGCACCGTTCAACCGCAGTGAGACGAAAGGTGTCAAAGACCAGCTAGTAAAAAGTTCCAGAGATAAGATCGCCAAGAAAACAGCTAAAGAAGGAACGAGAACTCATATTTTGCGGAAGTTAGTATCTTATCATTTTGATGTTTTATACACCATATCATAGTCCCTGTAAAACCAGCTCATTCTTTTAAAACCATACCAAGCATTTTTTTTTTCTCAATCTTTATGAATGATAAAGACTCCTAATAGCCAGACAATGTCGTTAACATGACAAAAAATATGCTACCCGGATATTTTCACATTACGTTGATCTAGTGAGCTATCTCTCAAATGTTGTTGGTTACTGTAGCAGATCCTAAAAACAAAATAAAGATAAGTTTCGAAGTTTTAAAAGCATTGGACATTGTAGTGTGTCGACGAATGAAAAAGACAATAATTCAAATTACTGTGGAGGTGGTTGTACCAGGAGAAGCATATCTTCAAGCAGTGGCTTGTTGTGCAACTTTGAGGAAAGCGCACTGAACGGCCGCTTAGATCTGGTCATGTCCTTAGACGGTTTTCATTTGCAAATTGGTAAGTTGAAGGTTACTTTCTACTGAAATTTATCCTTAGTAAAATTCTGATATTGGTCTAATTAATATATGCTTCAAAGAGTCTATTCATTTGGTCACAATAAATCAGTAGTTAATTTGCAATTGTCTAACTCCAATTTTCTCTAAATTCAAATTGTTTGGCAATATTAACAGAACCACTCAGCGAATGAAATTAAGAAATTTTATAGCAGCAAGCGATGAAACTTGTTCACCCCATCTTACATTGCCAGTTACAACTTTCTTTTTCAACATGCCTGAAGATGAAGCGCCTTTACCTTATATGGTTTGTTGATTAATTTTATTTAAAAGCCCATAGGTACCTGCCCTACTTTTCGCTTCGACTTTATTTAAGTTTTTATGGTGTTTAAAACAATTTTGCAACAATTAAAAATTTTAAGCTTGTGATAATTTACTTTTTCCGTTTTTGATCTGCATTTTCAGGGTTTTTGTTCATTGGAAAACATGCGAAAAGGTTACAGAATTCCCAGAAAGGGTATTTTACAAGCGGTAATTATTTTATTGATTCTGTTATTCCGAGTAATCGTTTAGAATCATTACGGCGGATCTTTTGAGAAAAGCAATTCACCATGAGTCTGTCTGAAATTTCTCAAAAAATAGCTTATAATAGATTCGTCACTGAACATAAAAATTTTGCCTAGGAAAAATCGCAAAAATGTCATTTTTGGGCTTCAGTAGTGGTATAACTGTTCGTGGAAATATCACCCAATAGAGAATCAACGGATATTTAAGAAAACTAGTAGGATCGCCAGTTCACTAGCAGTATTTGATGAAATGGAAAAGTCGGTAGTTTCATGAAACATTTTTTGATTATTAATTGATGAGAATCAGAATATAATTAGTACTGATTTCAATTTTTCATCTTTCCTTTGAAGATTAATAAATAATATGCACGTAAATATCACATATTGAAATCGTTTTGTTGCAGGTGTTGTTCAACCCTCAAGGTACTGTTGTACGGATGTTTGTAGTCAAATTTGACGTCAGCGATATGCCTCCTTCTTCACAAACCTTTTTGCGACAACGTACATTTTTCATGCCGGTAGGATGCACGTATGATGGTGTAATCCGTTCTTGGCTTAAATATTTAATCCATCTAAGGTGGTTGATACTTTTTAATATCAGGATATTAAGCTTTTTCGAGAAAGTTATCCTCTACTTCTCTACACCCTTTTATGTATCCTAACTTTTTCTGTTCTCTCCAAGCACTTTTAGATTGTTATTCTGTTAGTTCTTGTGCACCTTCCCTTTAAGATTTATATTTTAAAAAAAATAAGAGGTTACGTCTATAGAACGGTTATAGAGTTTCACGGTTTTTTTGTGTCGACATGAGTACTGTCCTTTTTTCCGAATTTTTTTGCTGACAATACATTTCTTCCAATGAATCAACTTTTTTATAGTATTGTGAAATGACTTAGAAATTATAATATGACATAGGAAAGAAGAATTTAATTATGTATAACTTATTTCAGCTTGGCAACAGATCGTCGTGGTAGATTGTATGTTCACACCGATATAAAGATGTTATTTTCACAGAAAAATGAACTGGAAACGTTGAATTTTGAATTGGGAAAAGATATGATTAAATACCAACTGCAGTCTTTCACGGAAATGCCTCGAAATCCGAAATATTCACCTCGCAAGTGATTTGGTACACATTTGACGGGGATTGTAAGATGATATCTTAGAAGATGTCATAGCTTGATGGTAATTAAATTACCACTAAGGCGATGATGAAAAGGTGATGTGTTTTGATTTCCTTTGCTAACTTTTTTCTCTGCAAGTTTCTCTTATCCCCTCAGTTTATTATGTATTATTATATTATGTGCACTATGTTTATATTTACCTTAATATTACTAAAAAATGTACCATAAAATTAAATGTTCGTAAGTCTAAGGTGATTTCCGGATTTACAGCATTCTTCAATGCTTTATCAGACTTTCCATATAGTCTTGCTATATTTTGTACATTGATGATATATTTAGTTTAAATTTGTTTTATTCGCTTCACAGCTTTCACTTCAGTGATCGTTCTTTATTCAGCTTTAAAATTGAAGGTGAAATTCTTTACTCAGCTCCAAAGTTAAGAGTGAATTCATTTCTTTATCTTTAAAATTGGAGGTGAGATTATAACCTCTCAATTAAAAGGTGAAATGATTGATTTTATGCATTGTTCATTTTCTTTCTACGTGACCCATTACACTTTAGAGATGCTATTAAAATGTTGACTCCCACTCTAACACCAAATCCAAATCAGCAGTCCAAAACCAAATCCGAAACACCAAATCAGTTCAATTCATGAAAGAAATTTTTCATCATATAAAAATTTTTAAGAATGCAAGGAATGACGATAGGTTTATTCGTCCTAAATCGATATATTATGATAAACTAAGTATTTGGAGATAACACAGCATTCCTTGTTAAATTTTTCATTCCTCCTGTATGATATTTTTAATTCGAAAGTAACTTGAATTTTGAGTGTTTTTTCTGTAAATATAGCTACTGCTTAGGTCTGTTGTTATCATTTATCACTGGAAATAATAAACGATGTGCGGGGAGAAGAATTAGTATGGTTCAGTTTTAAAATGGTTATGAAGTAGTTTCTGTATCCAATACTTATCGCTGAAATGGAAGAAATGGCCAACACTAGATGCTGCAAATGATTGGAACATACGACAACATAGTATCACCCAGTTTTACTCCTTACAATCCTTTCATATAATTAATCCAACCTTGTTATGGGATTCGCAATGCTTAGGAAAAGTCATGAGACAGACACTGTGCACAATGATATGAGCATATCGATGTCGTGACATGGTGACGCAAGCTTAGATCATCGGGGAAGGCAAGTTTGGCAAGAGTTTGAAAATTCGTTGGCTCAGGATTGGACTTAGTAAGGTGAGTGAAGGAAGGATGAAACGGTACTGGAGCAATGGCAGGAATTTCCATTTGGTAGTAAGGATGAATTGTTGGCTTAATCATTCCTGGACAAGGTATCCTGTCGGTCGGAAATGTACCCATTGTGCTTCTACCATTAATTTAACTTCGATCTTCGATGAGAGTGTAACTGGAGTCCGAAAAGAGCATTTAAACTGCATTCCTTTTTGAATAAAATAATCTTTTCATCTTTCTCCCTCCTCTTTGTATTTTATGCAATGTCGAATATATGTTATGCAACTTTTAATTTAAACTTATCTCATGCATCAGCATAATAATCGAGTTTGTTGAGCAGAAAGTGCCTTACATTAGTGAATTACTTTACTCAGTTAATATGGTTAAAACAAATCACTATGAAGACAGGAATGCATTTCATGTTCTCGAATACGCTGTGTTTTGAAGCTCATATCTAATTTGTAAATGTATGCCGTAGTGACTAAGTAATCTTTCATATGTAATGTACTGTTTCGTAACACTCTGCAGTGGTGCGTCTCTCAAATGTATCTAAACATGCTCGTACTTTTCATTCATTATTTCCCAGCGGGCTTATTTTTGATATTTTCTTTCGTTTACTGATAAATGCTTAATGTTTTTCTCAGTTTCTCATAAACGGATATGCTTACAGTTTCTCTTACTTGCACCCGAATTAATATGAAATATTCAACACTACTTTCATTTCGAGATAACGTAGAGTTTTGAAGGATTATCTCTTCCTCTTGCCAATAATAGTGATATATACGTAAAGGTATGGCAGCGCTCATGTGCTGTACGTTTTTTGTTCAAAGCTTTTTTTATTAAGGGTAGACGCATAATAAAAGATCCTTCAGCATGAAGAAGGAGAATTGTAACTGAAAAGAACTCTTTGAAGTGCAGGGTCCTCTACGTTTGGTTTCATGCACAGTATCTTATGTATAGTGTGGCGCGGTACGTCGCCTATAACATTTGATGTATGAACTCACTGATATTAGCTATCATAGTGAAGTATAAGATAACTATACCGCATGCCAAATAATTATTGTGTTGTAGCTTCAACAAGACTATCTGTCGAAATTTGGAAATCTTATTGTCCAGAATGGCAAAGATCTCAGTTGTTGGTAAAGGTAGTTGGGAGTTTCTCAATAAAGAGCAGACTGCCGAAAGCAGTGAAGAAAATGATGGTTATGTCGAAGACGAAGATGATGATTGGGAGAGAATGTATGACGATGAATATGACGGTTAATTTACATGATATCTGATTAGGTCATTTTGGTTTATTATACTTTGTTCTTTGAGGGTAGTAAGGAATCAACTTTGGCAGACTTCGTTCGCATATAGAAATATTTGCAGGTTAACTCGTAAATGAGAATAATTGCCGTTATAGAAGTAGGAGGTAATATGCTTAATTAGTTTGGGTCATGTTTATAACAGTTTTCCTTCTTTAAAAAAAATCAATTATAAGGAAGTTTTATCTTCTTGCACTTTGACGTTAAGTCTTTGTTGCTTCTTTCCTTCATTAAATATTGATTCGTTTTTAGATCTTATTCGAAAATTCGGCAATAGCAGTAAGGTATGGTTTTGGGTTTTTGATTCTTATTTCTATGCTTTCCTTGTTTTCTCCTTTTTTATCATAAATGTGCAATTTTTTCTTTCAGTTAATTACTGATTCGGTGAATGCTGTTTCAAAGGTAACTACGGGTGAGTTTTCATTATATTTCAAAGTATTTCTTGTTATTAAATCCGGATGGTGTATGTTTGAGCTTTTGTGATTACAGAATTATGCTGCAAGTTATTTATGGTTTATAATTTGTTTGGTGATTTATTTTGGTGGCGAGGTAGTTCGCCTTCTAAAGCAGCCTAATAAAAATTATCTATTATGAGCCACATCTAAACTGAAGTTTAGAACTACAAAGTTATTTGAGTAAACTGGTAGTCTCTATCTCATTTTTTATTTTCATAGTAAATACTAATATTAACAGTAATTTTGCAGGAATAACACTTACTGCCAATCTAACTGGTTTGGATGAGTTTTGGGACCGGAAGCTACTTGAAGAATTTTCCTCGGCAAAGGTCGTAGGTAAGGATCGTTCTGATCGAGCAACTGCAGAACAGGTAATGGAATTTTTTTTTCGCGTTGCCGAAAAGAGCAAAGTGTTATTTTAGATGTTCATTATTGTGCTCCTTATTGGTGATATATTTATTGCAATTAAAATAATATCAGGATTTTCCTTTCGAGAAAAAAAAGCAGAATATGCAATAGAATAGAATTACATTGGTATTTGAATGTGTATCTAGTTTGCTTGACTTCATTCTTTTACCTTTCTTTTAAGGTTCTGGATAAACGTACGTTGCTTGTATTAAGACGACTTTTGCAACGAGATATTTTTAATAAAATTGAAGGATGCATTAGTACTGGTAAAGAAGCGAATATCTACCATGCTTTAACAATCGATGGCAAAAGTCTGGCCGTGAAGGTATATAAAACAAGTATACTTATCTTTCGAGATCGCGACAGATATGTTAGTGGTGAATTCAGGTTTAGTTTTGCATTTGGATTTTTTAAAAAGATATTCTTCACCCGCACCTGCAAGCGATAAACTTCCGAATTAACTTAATAACTTAATAAACTAATAACTTAATAAGTAACTTTATAAACTTAATTAATAAATTTCCGAAGAAGTTTTCTCACTACCCACGTTTCTCTCGTATTGATTTTGAATTTTTTAGGTGGTTTTGGCGGATTATTTCGAGAACATAAGAGTTTAATATTGCATAGTGCAAGTATTTTAATTGTTTGCAAGAATTTCGCTGAAATAAATTGCCACTGAGATAAGCAAGAGGTATATTTGCTCTACAGGTATCGACATGGTTACTGTAAACATAATCCGAGAAAAATGATCACAGTGTGGGCAGAGAAAGAAATGAGGAATTTGTCCCGAATGCATTCAGCCGGGCTTCCAGTTCCAAAACCTGTAATCGTTAAGCAGAATGTTTTGGTTATGGATTTTATTGGTATCGATGGCTGGCCAGCAGTACTTTTAAGAGTTCGTCTTCTTTTTTGTTATGATATATGATACAATGAATCGTTTTTGACACGGAAAGCTCCATTTTTTTCACTACTTTTTACTTTTTTAAGCTTTCCGACTTCTAAGGGATTTTACTGAATTTAGGATGCTCACCTTTCATCTGAGCTTGCTGACGCGCTTTATATTAAATTAGTGGGTTTTATGCGGAAAATGTATAGAGATTGTCGACTAGTACATGCCGATTTGTCCGAATACAATATTATGGTTATGGAGGAAAAGTTATATATAATTGATGTATCGCAATCAGTTGAGCATGATCATCCACGTTCGCTGGAATTTCTTCGTTCAGACTGCTCAAATGTCACAAAATTCTTCAGAAGTAGAGGTGTAAGTCTTTTGTTCAAAATCTCTTTTCTATTTAGAAACTGCTAAATTTGTTGGATTTGGGCTTAAAATTTGAGCTTGAAGTGTTAGTTGCAGATTCCTGTGTTCTCTACCAGAGATCTTTTTCGTTTGGTGGCTGATCCGTCGATTAAAACGGAAAGTGAACTACAGGAATTCATGACTAAAAGGTAATTTTGATCTATGCAATTTTCTACTTGTGACTCTTTACTCGCTCCTGATGAAGGTTATCGTTCCCTTCTCGTTGATCTAAATAATTGTATAAACTTATGCAATATATTCGATGTTAACTAACTCTCATTACATTATTTCTTAAATTCTATGTTTATATTGACGATAATTTTTGCAATAGACACTCGATAATTTTTGGTAAAGAAAAGTAAATTCGAGTTTCTTTTTTAGTAGTTAGTATTGCATTTTCTGAGGAACTAGAGTTTTTTTTAATTAAATGTACTGATTTAGAGAGTAGTTATTAAATTCAAAATTGGAAATCTAAAGATGAAAAGCTGAAGATAACTTCAGCCTTTCATATCTAAATTGAGACTAAGATTTTTAAGAGCTGTTTTTTTGAATTTTATCACAAAAATCTATAGCATTTCTACAGGACCTTCGAAACACCAGCCACTGATGCTTTGTTTATGAATGCTTTTATTGCTCAAAAATTAGAACAAGTACTTTACTTTGAACGTGACCAACAAATTGCAAAAGTTGGTGGAGAGATTCCAAATCCGTTCCAGACGATGATTTCACAAATAAAGAACGATGAAGAAGAGGTAAGGTAAGACGTCGTGGTGAGATGGTAATCCCATTACAATATGGTACAAATAAGTGTGCTTCGCAAAAAGGTATGACACCGTACGGTTTAACAAGGCAAATCAAACCGGAAAACTAAAAACTTCACTATAATGAA